GCAGCCGAGCGGGGCGGCTCCCGGTGCCCGCACACGCCGGGAAGCCCTCCCCGCAGCAGGCGGCCATGGCCCCCCGGGACCCGCCGCGCCCGCAGCCCCCACCCCGGAGCGCCTCGGCGAGTCCCTGCTCGCAGCAGCGCTACGCGGGGCCCCCCTCCGCGGCACAGCCCGTACCTGCGGCGCTGTAGGGCGCGATGTGCAGTGGATGCGATGTGCGGTTGGTGCCGGTGCCGGTACCGATCCCGCTCTCCGCGCGTCCAGGTGAGTCTGGAGCGCGCGCCGCGCGGGGCGGAGCCTTTTATACTCCGGCCGCCGCCCAGCCCGCGCGCCCATTGGCTGCCCGCCCGCCGGGAAGCGCGTGGCCCGCCAGGGGGCGGCCGTTCCCGCCGTGCCGCGCGACGGGGGCGCGAGCGGGACCGAGCGTGAGGGGCCTGAGGGACGCGGGGAGGGAGACGCTGAGTGAGGGGTCACCGGGGACACGGCTCACACAGCCCTCAGCACACACGGACAGGCGTCACACAGCTCCTGCTGCCCCCACCTACGGGCATGGTTCCCACTGCCCCTCCTGTGCGCACACGCACCCGGGTGCCAGGTGTGAGGGCCAGCAGGCCGGTCCCTTTGTGACCAGACGGCTCCAAAGCCACTGTCCCAGCCTCAACCCCGCTCCAAGAAGCGGGTGCCCCAGAGCAACGGCGGCAGTTGTGGCCCATGTATGTGTCCAGGGATGCTCCCACTGCTGAAGCAGAACTTGAACAAAGCTAGCCTTGGGCTAAAGCCAGCACCCTGTTCTCACACCTGTGAGAGCTGCTTGGCCACTGCCCAGCTCATGTCTACGCTGTCTCTGGCCACTAAAGAAGCAGCACGGGTGGACAAGAAGCTGAGCATTCTCACAGGCTTTTGCTTGGCAGCAGCAAGCCTGGGGAGCGGCCCAAACTGTGCAGATGGGCTGGTGTGCAAGTGGAAGAAAGACCTTTGGTAGGAAAAAGCCAAGGGGCAGTGCAGGCAGCCTATGTGATCCCAGCAGGAAAGACAGTGGCACTCTGGGGGGCACTTGCATGCTGGCCACCAGGATAGAGAGGGATAGAGGGCCAGGAGGGTCCTGTAGGTGCTGAAGGGAATGAGGGGAAGGGGAGGAGGCAAAAGAAAAAGTATCCTGACTGCAGATGAGGCTTAGCAAAACCCTTCTGCAGAGATCTTGGTGCCATGGTGAACAGGAACCTGTTAGAGCACCAAGGGTAGCAGCTGTGCTGCAGCAGCTCTCACCTCCACCTCCTCCTGGCCTGCCAACCTCTGGGTTTTGCTCAGGGCTTATTGGAGATTTTGCAGAGAAAATCCCCAGCAATCCGGAGGGAACACTTGCTTTGTGTTCTTTAGCGAGACGACTGCCGTCTTGGCAGGAGGGACTGGTGCTATCCAGCAACAGCAGGTCACGGCCGGAGGTGGCCCTTTGCCGCAAACCCTGAGGCACCTTCTCACTCCTGCCAGAATATGGGCTCTGAATTCAAGAAGCGCCAAGAGCTGGCAAACGCTGAAAAGGCAAAGGCCAAGATCTAAGGCCAGGTTGCTCCTCCAAGAGGAGTCTGGATGAGAAGCAGCCTCCCGTTCCTGTGTCTGAGGGAGGGAGGGAGAGGCTGCAGGCACAGCTCCAGGCCAGGCTGCTCCCAGAGCAGCTCTGACTTGGTGGTGCAGCCCCAGGCAGGGCTGCCTTCATGAGCATCCTTCAAACCCACCCTGCAGAGCCCGCACCACACAGCCCAGCCCCAGTGAGAAAAGGCTCATCTTTCCTGCACAGCCACTGAGAACCAAAACATCCATTCAGTTTCAAAATGAATACAGGAAATCCTTTTTGCCTTCATGCAAATTGTCAGACAAATGTTTTACCATGTGTTCACTCGCTGGCTGTGCTCACCTTCCCCTCAGCTTCCCCCTTTGCTTGCCTGTTCTCCACATGCTTCTCCTTTGTGGATGCTGCAGTCTGACGTAGCTTTTGTCCCTGGCAGGCAGCGAGTGCAAAAGAACCTGAACCCCACCCTGCCTGTGCACAGCCCCTCACCAGCACCAGCTGCACCCAAAAGCCTGCCCACCATCCCCCCAGCCCTCAGCAGATCAGCTGTACCCGCCAGCAAGGCACAGCCCCTGGGCAATACGCTGCATCTCCTGATGCTGCAGCACTTTGGAACCCCCGGGTCTTTGTCTGGGCACAAAGCCACCACGGTGGCCATGCAGGCAGGGGAAGGGGAGCTCCCCCTTCCTCAAGCCACACAGGCACCACCAGACTCATACAAACCACGGCCAGAGCAGCTTTAAAGCCAACCCTGTGCACTGCCAGCAGGGGAGAGGTGGGGCTGCTGCTGGGGAGCTGCTAAAACCCATCTTGTACAAAGAACAAGAAAGGAGCTTATATCCTAGCAAGAGCTTTTCCCCGACAAATTAGCAAAGCCTCCTGTAACTGCAAAACCAGCTTCTTTCTTACGTCTTTTGGCATTTCTGCTTTCAATAATTTATAACAAAAGAAATGAGACATAAACAGATAGGCAGAAAGCAAAACCAGCCCTGACCTGAAATAGCACAGACTGACTGCCAGCCATTTTAGATGGGTTTTAAATCTTGCACAGAACAAGGCTGCCAGGGCTGATAGAGCCTCCCAATAACCATTTCCAGGAATGCCTTATTCTCCTCTACAGGAAGGAGGCAGGAAGTTTTCCCTGATCAGAGGTTTTTCTCAGCCTCCTGACCCATCTGCCTGCAGGGCACCACCATGACAGCTGCCAGCCTGAGCCATTCTACAGGGTGACAGCACCTTCTCCCATTTTCACCCCAGCCTCCTGCCACAATCCTTCACGTCCATCAGGGCAGGAGCACATACTGGGGAAGGCAGCAGCATACTGGGGCTGTTGTGTCTCACAGGAGGGCTCATTCCTCCTGTTCACAAAAGGGCTTGTTAACACCATTTTCCCCTTGCCCAACAGCAGCAAGACAAGGTGCTGCTTTCTTTTAATCACAGAAACACCGACTCCAGGAGACCTCCTTACATCAGTAAGGCAAGAGGGAGGTGCCAGCAAATTATTTTGAGGTGTGTCTCATTGTGGCTTTAACAGTGGCCACATCCTGCTACCTGCAAGGCACACCTGGCAAGCCCAGCTCCCCCCCGTGGGCATTAGTTCCAAGTACCCAGGCAGGTGGGTGAGGCTGAGACAGGACTAGTGATTGATGTGTTCCTTGTTCTGATGAATTTACAGGCGGCAGACAGGCATGAGATGGCTACCAGCACCAATACCAGCATCCTCACACCTGCAGCCACACTCTGGCTCTGCCTGTGGCAGAGGGAGCTGCTGGAGCCCTACTCTGCTCCTCCAGACCTCAAGCTGCAGGAGCGCAGCAATGACTCAGTTGAGATTTTCTCCTGGGAAATAACTTGTTTTGTACAGTAGTAACTCAGGCAGCTGTGAGGAAAGCCTAAGACACCCCACAGCTCACCTTCAGACTTTGGTGAAGTCTCCATCCCTTCTGATCTGAAGGTGTCAGAGCAGTGTAACTTTACACAGGTATGAGAACTCTCCCAAGGAGGTATCTCCCATCCTTTGTAAGAGCTACAATGTCATACAGCATATTAAGTCTGTGCCCTCTCCCTCAAGGAGAGGGAGTCAGCCGAAAACCCTGGTTTCATTAAAGTAACTAAGAAAACATTATATACTCACTAATAGCAATGGTCTCCTGTGTACAAATGGCTGTAAAACTCTGTTCTTTTATCAAAGGAAGGTGAAATCTCCTACATAATCCTAACAAGAACCACAGCACCTACCCTGCTATTTGGGGGAAAAAAACCCATTTTTTTCACTTATTCACTGGCCAGTACTGCAAGACATTTTAACAGATGGATGACAATTGTGATCCTCAGCAAATGTTTGCCTGGGGCCATGGTTCAGTCTAGGTCTGGAGGTCTACTTGTAAAGCAAAGGACCTTTCTCTAGACCTGCCATCTCATCCTTCTGACTTCATACTTTGCCATCTCCAACACACAATGAGAAAGGATCAGGGTTTAGTCAGAACAAGTGCTCCTCAGGACATAATCCTACTGTCTCTGATCATCAGCTTTGTGTGAGACACTTACAAATTCTTCCTTTGTACTTGTTAAAATATTCAAGCGTCTCCTACCTGAACATTATGTGAACAAATCTGCTCAGATACATAACTGAACAGTACTAGAGAAGCTGCACTACCACCTCTAACAATTAAGTCCAGGAAATCAAACATGGACAAAAGGAATTACTCAGTGCTTGGTCCCATGCTTTTCCTTCCATGCAATATGAGCAGAGCCAAGCTGAACCTCACAGCTGGCCACATGCACAAGGGTTAAACCAGATGACCTTCCAAGGTCCCTTCTAAATAAAAGTACTTAATTATCTACCCTTAAAATGACCCAACTCAGAAGATTCATGTCACTTAAGATATTTAGGAGTATTTACAGGCAGAGGCCGTGGTTTTTAAATAAAAGTTTAATTCCTTCATCAGGTCTTAACTTTAAACACAAATGCTGCTGAAAATTCTCCCAGCGCTGCTCTGCTGTCCTGGCCTTTGGCTCTCAGAGCAGCAGCAGGATGGCAGCAGGGGCTCTCATACAGGAGGTGGGATCACAGACTCAGGAGAGCTCAGTGCAGGATGCAAAGCAAAGAAGCAAGAGATGCACAATTTCCAGACAAACACCAATTCTTATACAAAAAGAAAAGCTCTACACTAATAGAAGTGTTAATGTTGCCACAGGACAGGAGTTTAGGAAGGGAGAGAAGTCTTCAGTAAAAGGCACAACTAAAGAAGTACTTCCCTAGATTTTAACCTCATCTTTCAGTTAGTTCCCCATCTTTCACTTATACCCCAGCCCCCAGCTTCTCAAAGCCATGCTGGTTACTCTAGAAAGTAATTTCAAGTTCCTTCTTTTCCCTTTTTCCCTTCCTCCAGCTCAAAAACAAATAAAAAAGGAGTGCTTATTAAAAAAAAAAAAACAAAAAACAAAAATCAAAAAACAAACAAACAAACAAAAAAACCCCCAAAAAACAAAATAACAAACAAAAAAACCCAAACCAAAACAAAACCAGAATAAAACAGTTTGGTCTATAAACCGTAAGAGTTCAAGAGAGACTTAGCAGTTTACCTTACGATTGTCTGGTAGATTTTCAAAGTATTCAAGTTTTAGATGATACTTATTACATCCAAGAGCCTCAGCCAGCTCTAGGTTTTGGTATTTTTCTTTCAGGCACTTTCTGGCCTGTCAGGTTGGTGTTCTGCTAGTATTATGTATCACCAGCCTCTTCAACCCATTGCCATAAACACTCCTGGCAAGCATCAGACCCACTCCAAGGGCTCCTTCAGGTTTTGTTGTTCTGCAACCTGCAGTGCTCCTTGGCTTAATGTATTTTGCAAGAAGCAAGGCTTTCAAGGAAAGGCAGACAGTGAGCAGGACAATGTGTCAGTAACTTCCAGGATAACAGGACTGTAACAGGCATTGAGTGAGAGGCTGAGCCAGCTGGACACAAAGCTGTTGTGTTTCAGGTCACCCCAGCATCTGAGCAGGCACTTGCTATATGCAACAACCCTGCTGCTGTTGGATAGAGGCTCTGTTTACTACTGTACTGGTAAAAAAAGGGTCAGGGGGCTGCACAGCAGGTCAAGGTGCAGCAGCAGCACATGACAGCAGTGCTCTAGTTAGCTAGCAAGGCTAACAGGAAGCTGTGAAATTGAGAAGCTGGTTTTAGCCTGCACTAGAAACCAAAACACACAACCACCGTAAGTTCTCTATGTCAGAGCTTTCAGAAAAGAACACTTGTCCAGGATTCACCTTCCCCACTAAGCTAACACAGACTCTGCTCTCACCCTCACTTTGCTGTGTAGTGCACTAAAGGGCATTTAATTTCACCAACAATTAAGAGGAATTCAAGTTTGCAAGCTACACTGATCTCCTTTTATGGGAGGAAGCTGTAGCAGAACCACCCCCATGGTGTCTCCCAGGGCTTCACCAAGGGTCAAGCTTGGCCAAGACACAAGCCTTCCCCACCACTCCCCAAGGGCTCTGTCAGGTTCAGAGTGGTAAGACAGCCAGCAGTCTCTTGGGCTCTTGCTGTAGATCCAGATCAACATGTCCTAGAGAGCTCTACTTCCCAAACAATTTAGGGTGCACATGCCAGATCATCTAACCCTGCCCACAGACAAACCCTCTCCCTCCCCCCCTCAAAATAATTGTGGCAATTAGCCATGTGTCAGTCCTGCTCTCCACAGACCTGTAGAATTGAGTCAGTGCTACTGATCAGCTCCATGCACAGGGGTGCTGGTGGAGTTGGCTGTTACAAAGATGAGCTTTCCCCCTCCAGCCTCCCAGTGTTGGGAACAGAGCCAGTAAGCCTGACTTATGCAGGAGATGTGGAGAACTGCACTGGAACAAGCAGTCTTCTACTGAACTTTACAACAAGCTGAACAACTTTTGGTTTTAAAAAAAAAAGCCATACAAGCAGCAGCTGACATCTGTTGTTATAAAGGGACATGGCTGAATAGGTAGGAAACAGATTCCCCATTATGAGTCCTCCTGATGGCCTCCGCAAGGATCATTGAGATGTCAATCACCTGGAAGGGAAGAAAGATGCATCAGTGCCATTGAGACAAGGCATCAAGCCTGAAAGAACTGCTGGGAAGTCAAGGACAACCTAAAGAATAAACTCATCACCCACATTTTAACATGCCAGATGTAGATAAATTACTTCTACACAGGATTAGGATTTAATTACATCTAAGCCTGAAGATACCCTACAAATAGCACTACAAATGTTCTAGTTGGTCTGTCAGAGTTACAGTCTACTGTTGCCTTGCTTTGCTCAGACTCCCTAGGCTCAATCTGTTTACCACAGGACTACCTTATTCACTTTGTGCAGAGAAGTTAGGGCAGTCTAAATCAAGATGAAATCACTTCCCTTGAGCCAAGAGGTTTTACCACTGCTGCCAGCAGTCTGAGAGATGAAGCTGCTGCGCTGCAGCTCAGCTCCCAGGCGCTGTGCTGGCTCCATCTGGTGGGGTCAGGAAGGTACCAGGAGGGAAAGCTGAGTCTCAGCCAAATCCCAGCTCTGAATGCCCACAGCTAAAGCATTTCAACATATGTAGTGGAGTAAGACTCACTATATTCATGCTGCATTAAGGAAACCAAGTGAAAATCATATCTAATATTTTTTATCTTCCAGATAGTTTGTCTCTGAAGGGAAGGAAAAATTAACAAGCTGCAGAGTAAAGCCTGAGACTTGTGACAAATCCTTTAACTCTGTGCTCCTCAACATCAGACACAAGTGTGTAAATGTGAGGTATATAAAGGAAAACTGCTCCACTGCAATCTTTGGCTACAGCTACTGACACAGAGATTGCCAGTTTAACGTTTTGCCTACACCAGCTGCTGTGTGGAGCCTGGAAACCAAGGTGAAACACCAGAAATGTTTTAGATGTTGCAGGAGTGTCATTCAGAAGTTAGTGCTGAAAGAAATGCAACCCAACAGCAGCCTACAATCAGCTTATAACATATTTCCAAAAGCAGCTTAAAACTGACTGCAGCTTCAACCAGTTCACCTTCCCTTTCACCAGCAGCCCAGTAGTGGGGAAGCCTCTACACTCACACCACAGTACTGGCTGAGTGTGAGCAGTGCCTGAGCTTCTCCAAACACTTGTGTCCTAGATGTTGGTGCTGTGAAGCCAAGGCCCATCTGGAATTAAATCTCGCAAAGGACATCAGGGACAATAAGAATGTTTTTCTTTTGTTATTGATGTATTTGGAAAAACCTAAGAATAATGCGGGCCTGTTCCTAAAGGGAAGGGGGACCCTGGTGACAGAGGATGCAGAGAAAGCAGTTAGTGAGCACCTTCTTTGCATCAGTCTGCACTGACAAGCAGGAGACCTGGGTAAGGGAATGTTGGAAGGAAGACTCTTCCTTAGGGAGGACTAGGTTAGAGGACACTTGGCCAGACTTGATATCCACAAGTCCATGGGCCCTGATGGGATACATTCATGAGAGAGCTGGGAGACATCACAGCCAGGCACCCATGATCAGCTTTGAAAGGTCCTGAAGATCAGACGTGCCTGAGGACTGGAAGAAAGCAAATACAACCCAGAATTACTGGCCAGTCAGCCTCACATCAATCCCTGGGCAGGTGACAGAGCACTTCATTCTGGAGGCCATCTCTATGCAAGAGATGACAAGAACATGATCAGGAATAGTCAGCATCGATTCACCAAAGGCAAATCATGCTGCACCAACCTGATCACCTACGAGGAAGCAACTACCTGGATAGGTGAGGGGAGAGCAGTGGATATTGTCAACTTCAGCAAGGCTTCTGACACTGTCTGTCCTGAAATCCTCACAGGCAAAACTCAAGAACTGTACACTGGATGAGTGGATTGAGAACTGGCTGAACAGCAGATTCTGGGGCTCATTATCAGCTTTTAGTTTTCATATGGATGGCAAAGGCTGGGCATAAAGTGACAGATACACAACAAAGCTGTCAGCACCAACATCAGAAGCTCCTGTCTACCTCTGTTTCAGCATTGCACATCGTCAGCACATCACTCCTCCAAAGGGCACACATCCAACTACTTGCCTACATCGTGGCCCCATTAAATCAGACACCTGATCTAGGCAAAACAAGCCTTGAAAAAAAAGATCCTTTATGAACTGCTTGAAATGAGCTGCAACAGAAGCTGCTTTATATCAGTGTAACATGTCTGTTACCCCACAGCAATAGGGCCAAGAGAACTAGGCAACACTGATGGCAGTACCAACAGAACCACTGTCAGTACTATACAGTATTGTGGGATTTTCACCCCCAAAAGGTGAACACACAAGGCTACCACCCCCCAGGAATGACAGAAAATAGATGCTCACCTGGATTTTAGGGCACTGCTTCATCTTGTCCTCCTGGGGTATTGTGTTTGTGACTACAACTGCCTCAAAACAGGCATTGTTGATCCGGGAAATTGCTGGCCCAGAAAAGATCCCATGAGTTAAGATGGCATAAACTTTGGTGGCTCCAGCTGACACAAGCCTGCAAGGGGGAGTAAAGGAGGAGGATGAATAATTCTCAGCAAATATTAAGCTGACATAAGAGCAGGGCACATGGTAAGCATGACTGGAGACAGCACCATATGCTTAGGGAACAGGTTACCTTTGATTCCCCCACTCTACTGACTTGGGGAAAAAAAAACCAGTTTCACAAGTACCATAAAATGCACCACAGGCAAAGCACACACTGAAAAAACCCCATTGTTCTTAGCTCTGGAATATTTGGAACAGATCATACAAATCACCTTTGTAATTTTTGCTTACACAAGGTAGCAGATATTAAATACTGTGTTAATACTTTAATACTGTATTTAATACAGTATGAAATACTGTGCTAATTTTTAGTACTGTACTTAACAGTTAACCACCTCGCATATGTTGCTGTTTCTAGTGTAAAAGGCATGAATGGTATCAAAGTTTGAAGAGCTTATTTCTAATACAAAACCAGCTGATGGACCAGACAACACTTAGTTGTACCTGGCATGGTGAGTGATGGTCCATTTTCAACACAGGGAAAGAAAAGAGATACTATGGTCTTCTACCTATTCCCACTGCAAGAACTTTTACTGGGTTTTTTTGTTTTTTCCTTATTTTGTATGACATGAATAATCAAGAAACTGCATGAGCCTTGTGAAACTTGTCATGCAAATACTCTGCTTAACCCATTACACAGTGCTCACTAAGAGCAGGCTCCCGCTTTAGGAAGGCAGCAGTCAGCCCCACTCACTTGTCTGCAGCGTGGCAGATGGTGCCACATGTGTCTGCCATGTCATCCACCAGGATGGCCACTCTGTCCTTGACGTCCCCCACCAGCACCATGCGATCGACCTCGTTGGCCTTCTTGCGCTCCTTGTGAATGAGGGCAAAGTCTACGTTCAACCGATCTGCAATGGAGGTCACTCTGAAGAGAGAACAGTTCCCAAACAACACTTAGCTCCACACAGCACCTCAAAGCTCTTTCAGTATCAAACACACTGCACTAAGAGGAGCTGTCACCACATCTGCTACTGTTCCCAAGCAATTAATAGAAGGCACTCTGCCACCTTGGTTTCCCTTCAAGCAGCTAACTGCAACCTCTGATCTAATCTCTCTCAGTGACAGCAAATAGATCTCATCTTTCATCATGACCACTGTAAACTAATTTGCATTTAAGCTGAAAACAAATCTTAACCAGCAAGGTCAGCAAATTTGAAGTGATCCAAACACTTGGAAAGTTGTCATGTTTGTAACACTACACTGGAAAGGCTTAAGTTGTGCTATGACAGGGCTTTACTGCCACTCCTTTAAGCACTCAGTCATCATGCACACAAGCACTGGCACAGGATTACACATCCAGGAAATTCAAATACACACCTCACATTTATTTCCATTAAAGTGACTGCAGAGCAACCTTACTAGAGGGATCTTAACTTTACATATTGATACTGATGAACAGTAAAGAGTTTAAAAGCATTAAGAGTGGAAGGAGTAAAACACACATGCCCCCAAGAAACTCTTCACTTGAGGTAAGCAGACTCTTAGCCCCACTAGATCAGACTTATCCCGGTGGTCCTACACAAGACTGTTAAACTAAACTGAAGTATTTGGCTTTGCATATCTCCATAAAATACTGCATCAGCCAAGATCGACACATTTCAGTATAAGAGGCTTTTGAGCAGATTTTTTCAAGAGCCAGATTATATCTGGCTGGTTTGGCACTTCATATACTGTGTTATGCAACAAGCTACAGAAATAGCCGAATGTACAGGAGGTCTTGCCCAATCCATGGACCACAGCAAAGCTACAGAAGACATACAGTGACCTCCACTGTGTCTCTTGGCTGTCTGTAATACATCATTTCAAACACTCTGAGGCGTGTCAACCACATCAGAACCCACCAACATTTTGGTGTGACAGCCCTGAATTAAGGAATACATCTGTGTCCCTCTACTGTTCACATGTAGCCCTCAGACAGAAGCATCAAGGAACAGCCTAGTTTCTCCTAAAAATCCTCTGAGAACATTCTGGGCTGCCCACAAACTGGCATGTTTGTCTGCAGGGAGATGGGAGATTGTAAGGCTATCAAAATAGAAATGTGCTATAGCATATGCTGCTGCTTTTTGGAAAGGAACCATCTATCTTCCTCGTTCTCAGGGAAGATGAAGAGAGGCAGTAGGCTTAAATCACAGCTAGATATTCAAATCCAGGGTAACAAAGTAAGAAGATACCTCAACAGACTACATTTAATTCTGCAGAGAAAGCAGCCTGGATAAAAAATTATCATTAATCATCAGCAGTAAGCTTGCCTTGGCATAGGGGTGTAAGCTACACTGTTTCCTCCTTCAGTTGGCAATTTGTACACCCTTGTACAAATTGGTTTAGTCCAAGGGAGGTAGCTGTTGTGCAATTCCTACCTATGCAGCCGTGATTCTAGAAGCTATTAAATCCTCCCTGTAGCCCAAGAAACACTCTAAACATTCCCTAGGAAAAATATCTGACCACTCTTCACCAGCTGTCCCAGACTGCCTGAGAGAAGGCAGACTGAAAGAAGGAACATGTTTTAAAAATAGAGTCACAAGCATTCTTAGGAATTGAAGTAGACACAGAAGCAGCATCTCAAGCTACCTGTCTGACAGCTCACCTCTTGGCTCCACCAGCATCTGGTGAAACAATGGTGCAGTTCTTCCACTCTGGAATATTCTCTTTGATCCATTTCAGTACAGCAGGCTCGGCATATAAATTATCAACAGGGATATCAAAAAAACCCTGCAAGGAAGACAACAGGAACAGATGTAGCTGAAAGTCCCATTCCAGAAACAGTTGTAGAAAGCCTTCTCTATCATGAGGCATGCAGTCATCACCTTTCCACAGCTTTCAGCTTTCCTTTTTACTTCCCTTGATGTAAGGGCAGTAGTCTTTGGGATACACAGAATAGTAATGTAAGAAGTCTTCAGAGCCAGAAATAGTTCAGCAGCATAAATAACACTTTATATTTAACACCTCCACAAAAATGAAACTAGTTCTGTCCTGGGGACTGCAGAAAGCCTGCAGCAAATGCACTCATTTCCAGAGCAGCTGGCTGCCTGTTTACAGTCAGTCTTTAAAGCTCATTACCCAAACTGTTCACATCTACAAAACAGGCTTGAGTAACATCTGTCTTTAAACTAATGCAGCTGGTTCCATACCTTTACAGTGACCCTGCAGACTTCTCCAAATCTCATAGGTCACTAAATGCCAAAAGTTAACCCTGGAGTAAACAGGCAGGAGAGTGAGGGGCAGCTACTCCTGTGGAATGTTTCACAGTACAGGGTAACAGACCCTTCTCAGCATCATTCCTTCTGTGCTCAGCAACACAGCAGCTACAGGAACCAGGCTGAAACCAGCCAGATGCTGGAAGCACATATGCACAAATGATCCCATTAAATCTCATCACTGCTGCTGGTGCCAGGTCAGCCCTTTCAGTCACACCAATTCCAAGCCCTGTAGGAAGAGGGGACCCCCTCGGGCTCAGTTATTTCATGCTCTGAGAGCCTTCTCAGCTGTGCCCCTACAGACTTTTCATCTGAGACAGTATTTCTGGGCAAATCATACTGAAGTGTGAATGACTGCACTTCCAACTGTTAAAAAACAACAGCCAGCCCACTTACTTCAGCAGGCAGGAGCTACCTTACCCTTTGCAGCAATACAACAGACATCCTTCCCTCTGCCTCACCCCTCTGAGCTGTATGGGGCTGGTTTCTTGGTCTTGAGCACTTGCTCAAGGTAGAGAAAAAGAAAATTAAATTGAGCTTGCAGCCTCTCCTCTCCCTGGCAAATATTCCTGCCAGTTTTCTTACACAGCCCAGTCAAGACTTTAGTTTGTCTGTGAGGTATTTTGTTCTTAAGCCAATGAAGCCTATGAATGATTTTCAATTCACTACCAGCTTGGGAGAGAACCAAGTCCAGCCTGTGTGGGAGGGTGGCACTGAATGAATCCCACAAGTGGGATTGCCCATCTTGCCAGAGGCAGGCTATCAGATCACCGTCCTGATCAACTAAACCCACAAATGCAGCTGTGCCAGGACACCTGAGGGCAGAACTAACTGCTCACTTCTCCAAGACAACACATTAAATATCAGAAAGCTCTGCTAAGAATTTAAAGACACTCTCCATCTCACATTCCTCCAAGGTCTAGTGAAGAACAGTGTCACTGTGTGGCAACAAAGCTGCAGTGATCATTTACTAGCTCATTTACACAAGACTCAATACACTCAGTCTGAAGAAGAACAACTATACTTTCATTTACAGGTTAACTTGTTACCCACCTCCCCATCCAGTCCCAAATTCCCAAGCCTTGATCACTGCAATATCTCCAAAAAGCAGATGACTGGAAAGCTTGGAAAGCAGTCAAGAGGCTCAGACTGGAACTGGTTAAGTCCCTTCCTGATTTTTGCTCCTACCTGAATCTGAGATGCGTGCAGGTCCATGGTGATTATGTGATCTGCACCTGCCACAGACAGCATGTTTGCAACCAGCTTGGCAGAGATGGGAGCTCGACTCTGGTACGGGAAAAAAAAAAGACAGTATAAGACAAGTTCAACTCCTTCATCAAGATGTCAGCCTTCTGCTTCCAGGCAGTGATTCACAAGCAGTTACTAAAAGGAGCACTCATTAACATTGCATCTTCTCATCAGCTAGTGATTAGTACATTTTCAAGAAGAACTAGATCTTTATGAAAATATCACTTTGCAGTCCAATATCCCGAAGTTTAATGAACTGAAGAGAAGTTGGATATGCAGAGGAGGCGACAAAACTTCATTTAAATCCTCTCAAGCAGTCAGGATTTTCAAGGTGTACATTCATCTTCCCTGCAGAAACCTTTACCACATCCCTTACCTTGTCCTTTTTGTCCTGCCGGGCGTAAGGGAAGCAGGGGATGACAGCTGTGACTCTGCTGGCTGAGGCAATCTTACAGGCATTTATCATGATGAGGAGCTCCATCAGATTGTCATTGATTTCCCCACAGCCACTCTGCACAATGTAGACGTCCTCCCCACGAACACTCTCGCCTATTTCCACGCTGGAAACAAGAGAAGAGAGTTGTAGCCAAACACAAATTAAAGCACAGCCATTACCTGTGCCTGCAGAGCAACCAAAGCACTGCATCCCCAAGGTTCTGTGGGTGACAGTGCCATCTAATCAAGGCTGTTGAGCAGGAGCACTGCTGTTTATTTGCTCAGTGGCTATTTTACAGCGCTCACTCATCAGATTTAATGGCCTAGCCAGTAAGGCTAAAAGCACTCAGCCTGTACTCTTGATGTCAACACAAGCTGAGCATGTAAACACCCCAGAGCAGGCCTTGTTCCCCTGGAATCACAAGCACACCACCTCTAAAAGCAGCAGTGCACAAAGGAGCAAGGACCGTGGCCAGCCACCAGCCAGAGTGGGGTCAAACTCTACCGAAGCAACACTGCAGCCAATTATCAGAGTGAGACTCAGAACAGCCATCCCGGGCTCCAGCAGAGCAGCACTCCAGCCTTTTGCTCTGGAAAGGCTTCTGGGGTTAATTTTCTCCTGGATGCAGTGCACACTAATCCCTGCTGATGAAGGGCCTGAACACAAGCCAAAGGTCCTGTTTGCCAGCAGCAAAATGCCAGCTCCAATGCACGTATGGAGACACCTGCACCAGAAAGAGTGGGAAAGAAACCATTTATAGAGCCCCTCAGGGTAGAGCTCTAATTCTAATATTTCCTCCTCTGGCCTTTCAGATCTCTTCTTCAAACTTTTTTTGATGACTGTTATCTATTTATATCTTACTGCTCAATATCCATCAGTGAGCTGCTGTCATCTTTTCGGCCCCCTGACTTACAGGATGCATCCGTCTCTCATGGAGAGTTTCTGTCAAGGAGAACTCTCTGCTGGGGAGCTGTCAGATTATCAGCAGTTAGCATCAAAGTGTCATCTCCAATATTACGATGATTTAAGATATTTATGGTACAAAAAAGTCCATTAATTACTCTGTTGAAACAGTCTTACTCTTTTGGGGAATCACCTGCTGTCAGTTTATTGGGGTAAATGAGATGTTTTTCAAGTCTTCAAGTCACATTACCTGCTGACATAGGAACCTGCTGGCCAGCCAGCTAGATGGTAAGAGCAGTTAATAAAGAACAATGAGAACAGTGCAAGGGCTGTAAATCAAACAGAACTTTTTATAACTCCTCTACAACTCTTTGTACTACCTCTGAGGTTTCACAATCGATACCCATGGCAAGAGAAACATAATACTGTACGTCACATGTACATCCTGGATTTTCATGGGAAAAAAAATTCTGCTTCCAGAAGGAGTGGGTTGGAGCAATCAAGGCTCTTTATATTATACTCTGTGGTGTATACACGATTAGTGTAGTCTCTAAAGCAAGCTTAAGGAGCTCTGAACAAGTTTAAATCTCATTTTTAGCTTTACGTAGGATGGCAGCAAGATTTTTAAAGCGTAGATACATAAAGCAAGGCGAACACTAGGTTTCAAAGCTGGAGGGAAACAGACTGCGTGACTGCAAATGCACCGTGGGATGCACGGAGGTGTGAGCCTCCTCTCTTTCCTTAAAAATTCTAGCAATACTTTCTAAGACTCTCCTCAGAGAGTCTCCTCAGAGAAGTTTAAGAGTACCAGCTCCATGCTAAACACAAAATTATCAAGCCTCAAGTCATCAGAGTTCAGATTTAAGCAAGAAAAAGCCTAATCAGCGTAGCTGTAACTCCGAGATGTGCCGTCCCGTCAGCTCGCGGCTTTGGGGTGGAGGGGGCAAGGTCCGGGTGGCGAATTGCACCAATCCAACACTTGCCACAGCGGCCAGGTCACACAAACCCTCCCAGCTCAGGAGCCCCGGGTGCAGAGGAACCCCGAAGGCGGCGGTGGAAGCCCCGAAGGGGGCGGGGGAAGCCCGCGTGGGGCCCGCGCCGCGAGGCGGGGGCCGCTGGAGGCACGGCCCGGGCCGCACATGGCTCCCGGGGCGCACCGCGGCCCGGCCTCGTGCCGGCTCTGCCCGGGAGGACGTGCGCGATGCACCCGAGGGCTCCGGGGCAGCAGGGGCCCGGCGGGAGCGCTCCGGGGATGTCTCCGAGCGCAGCTCCGCAGGCGGGCCCGACCGCACGGCCCCCGAACTACAACCCCCATCACCCCCCGCGCGGACGCCGCGCGGTATCCAGCGCCGCAGCGCCGCGCGGCCTGCCGGGAGCTGTAGTGCGGCCGCGCCCCGCCCCGCCTCACCATGTCTCCTGGTTGCTGAACTTCTTGGTGACCACCTTGCCCAGCTCCAGGCCCAAGCGATCGGCGATCTTCTGGGACAGGTCCTGGTGCGAGCTACCGCTGAAGATCTTGATGTTGGGCATGGCGGCGGCTGCGGCACCGGCGCCCTTTTTCTCCCCCTCCTCGTCGCTCCGCCACGCAGCGCCCGCGGCTGCCGCGCGGGGACCCGCCCGCCTCCTGCGAGGACGCGGCACGGTGGGTACAGGTCACACCAGTCGCCTCTACGCCGCCATCTTACCCTTTCCCGCCTACCGCGCCGACCCTTTATAGCCTCTCCGCCCCGAGGACACGCCCTCAGCCGCTTCCCATTGGCTGTGCCGCCGCAGGGGGCGGGGTTCCGCTCACGGGAGCGGCAGTAGGGGGCGTGGCTTGACGCTTCTCGTTCCCCTTGAGGGCAAGGGGAGGTGCGCGCGCCCTCCAGCTGGGGGCGGGGCCTAAGGCAGGAGGCTGCCTGCGATTGGTCGCTGTGTGGTGCCCTGAGCTGCGATTGGCCAGAGCGGCGGCGGGCAGAGCGCGCGGCCGGCCCGGCCCCACGTGGCCGCGCGGGTGCAGCCGCCCCCCGGCGGCCATGATGGCGCCCCCCTAGCCGGGGGTAGCTGTGGGCCCCGGCGCCGCACTCACCGCGAGCGGGGCCCCGCCGCACCCGCCGCCACCGTTACCTCAGCATGCCGGCGTGCCCGCGCCCGCCGCGTCCGTCCCGCCGCCCTGCGCGGCGCTGCGCGGAGCTGGCGTCACCCGGCGGGCCGCGTGTGAGGCGGTACCGGGTGACACCGGGTGGCAGCGGGCCCGCTGCGGCACCGCCGAGCCCCGGCCGAGGCTGCCGGCCGAGCCCTTCAAGGCTTGTTTTGATTTTGGGTCAGGGCTGCAGCCCGCCTGGGAGCTGCCTGGGAGTTGGAACAGGCTGATTAATTCCTGAGGGGTTTTTATGTTTATAGTCGGGATTTTGTACCCAATTCCATACCAAATTGTATGTATTTGATTTATATATATATATGTGTGTGTATATGTATATACACATATATATATGTATATATATCTGTACATGTGTATGCGTATATAGATGTATATATTATATATATATAAATGTATATATAAGATACATATATGTGTATGTATATATCTATCTTATAATTACATATGAAACTAACTATAGACTAACACCAAATCAGTCTTCTGTCAATTATCGGTTTGTATGGGACTGCATTATGCACGTTAATTTATCTTTGGCAGAATTAAACATTGTGCTTAAGGGTTTTTACCCTTTAAACCTGGATATAATTTGATCATAGAATATCCTGGGTTGTGAGGGAATCACAAAGTCCTGACTCCTAGCCCTGCATGGGACACCCCCAAGAATCCCACCAAAGTGATTTTTGTAGTGGTTTATTCTTGTTCTAAATTTCTGATCCGATCTCCAGTTGTTAATAGGCCAATATAGTCCTGTCCTTTTTCTAAGACTTAATTATCTCAAATTACGTTTCACTACTTTGAAGGAAATGATACTCAAATTTCAGCTTGTATATATTATTACAAACCCCTTCAAAATAAAAAGGCTCTGTGGTTCGTCACAGAAAATGCAGGAATTGATAATTGTTCACCTTTCTGTGTTTCTGTCAGACACAAAACCAGCAAGTCCAGGGTAATGATGAGACCAGGCAGGGAACTCTGCACTGTGTGTCTGTGCTTGTGATTTCCCCCACAAAGCAAAGGAAGAAGACTGACACATTTATACAAATATACAAAATATATATATCTGTATAAAATAAGCCACAGACAGCTTCTTCAGAATTTTCATGCAACTGTGTAATTCCTACTGATGTTACCTGCATTTCTGAGAGGCAGTAAACTTCTGCAGTGAATTTGACATTGATTTGCTTCGAGTCCTTGAGAATTCAGCTGGAAAAAAATCATCCACAAATGTGGGGGGTGGGGCTGCCCATGTTTTCTTTATTTTCTTAAAACTCTCCTGGCCCCAAATGCTGCTGCCACTATCCCCAAAGACCCATAAATTAATGACTACAATACCATACTTGGAGGAGGCTTTGCAGAACACTCTGTACAGTGTCATTAAATTTGGAATTCATCTGCATAAAAATAGATATCGATTCCCATGCTTGGCATTGATGGAACTGGAATATTAATATTGGTAATTTTGATTATTTTCTGGTGTAGCTGTAGCAGCTTTGAGGTGCTGTGACAGACAATAAATCCAGGGAACGGGGAAGGAGGAACACAGCCCTTTGCTTCTAATTTGTTGCTAATCACTGATCGTCTTAACAAACAAAATTAATCTCAGCAGTGACGAAAACTTCACTGGGGAGTGGCTACCTGATGGTTCAAGTGATGGGATTTGAGGATACCTCCCAGATTTCCAGCAGACACATTTTTGCCCCAAATCCACATCACTGCTGCCTCCAGGCCTTTCATCTGGGGCACACCTTGGTTTTGAAGCATTTGCTTCATTTTTGTTTTCAATTCCATTTAATTGAATACAGAACGAGGGTTTTCTGTGGCCCAACATCCCAGGCACAGAAAACAGAAACATCTCAGTTTATTTGTGACCCAGGCAGTGGGGCCCTGAGGCTGAAGGCAGCAGAGGGTGTATTTAAACATGCAAATGTTGCCTCTCATTGATGAGCCCTGCCTGGGCTTCCCTCCACAGGGCTTTGGAGGCAGCTTTCCTATCAGGATCCTCAGAGATGCGATCTGGGGGGAGTGAAAAATCTGACCCAAAAAAAAAAAAAAAAAAAAAGACAACAACAACAAAAAACCAACTAAATCCTTAATCCTGAAACCAGGAACTGGCAACCTGTTCTGTGTAAAATCAAAGATATTTTTTCCCTTTCTGAGCTGGCGGCCAGGTGTGCTTTCACACCCACCTGCTTCCCTCCTCTCTCAGCCTCCACCGTGCCTTTGTAGATTAGCCAGCGCTTTGTTCCTGAGGACAAAAGTCCACCTCCACTAACGACTCCCCGAGCTCGTGGAGCAGGATAACTTCGGGGATTTGCTTAAGAAGAAGCTCTTAATGCACCAGAGTCTAAGTTAAACAAAGCCAAAAACTCGCTCAGGAGGTTCCTCAGCCAGTGCTGGGCTTTGAGCAGTGTGCTTTGCCGTGCAGGGACGAGGAGGAGCAGCTTGGAAGGGTGAGAGGTTTATCAGGTTCTTGGGATGAAAGGAGAGACTGTGCTTGCATCCATTGAAAACCAAATTTGCACTGGCTTGGGAGTCAGGATTTCTGTCAAAGGACGCTCAGGGAAATGGTCACAGATCATGGAAGTGCATTGGAGCGTCTCAGCTCTTGTGTGGATGCCCTTATTCACCTTAAAGCACCTCATTGCAGCTGGTGAGCCTCGTTCTGAAAGCAAAATACAAGAAATTGAATTATTTCCTTTCAAACTAAAGGATTTTATTTGATTTTCCTGTGGTTTACAGTACGGACAAGCACAAGCCGGCCTGGACAAGTAGAAAGGACATAGCCTGAGGTGCTGTGTTCCATCAAGTTCTGAAAATTGTGAATTAAATTAGCATCCAACTAAGGAGAACCTGAAAACAAACACACAAACAGCCGAAAAATCTTTTTACTTACCTGATTCGAAGGAGGTGCAATTAATCAGAAATACCTTTGTGTGTCACAAGCTGAGAATGAAGTTCCCAGGAAGTTTCAAGCAGCACATTAACAGCATCAAATTTCATGCGATGTCAACTAAGACAAGTAGCCCTCGTCCCCCTCTTGGCACTTTCCTGCATACAATTGCCACTCAATTACCACCAGCCACTAATCAACAGCACATTTTCATGCAAAAAGCCTGTGGCTGAGGGTTGTTATTTCTTTCCGTTGCCTTGTGACTTCACTGCCTCACAGCCGGTTCTGTTAATGAATGGCACTCGATGGAAATAACACCGGGCTCTGCCCTTTTGCCTTGGTGGCTCTCAGGAGCCGAGAAAAATTGGAGGTAAAAAAAAAGTAAAGAAAAGTAGAGGTAGAGAAAAGGTTGGAGGATGGGTAGGAAAGTAGAGGTTGAGGAAGAAAAAAAAAAAAGCCAAAAAGTTTGGAAGGCTGAAAAGGGAAGAGAGGTTGAAAGTTGATGCCGAAGAGGGGTGAGGGACTGACATGAGGCAGGCAGAGAGGGGGAAAGTTCAGGAATGGTGCTCGCCCTTAGCACTGTAAATATTCCCAGAGTTACACAGGACATCGCTGGACCACATCCACCAAGGGAAAGCACACCGTTTATCGGGAAAAAGTGACAATTCTGGGAAATATAAGTATTGCCAGGTCTCCACTGGAACCAACACAGGCTTAGACATCGTTTTTAAAGGATCCTGACTGGTTCCCTTTGTGTTCCTGCTGTTTCCATTCAGCGTTTTTTGACTGTGCCTTTCTAAGGAGCCCAGGTAGAAGTATGAGGAACGAGCCGTCTTGCCTTAGGAAGAGGTGAATATTCATTAGATTTAAGAGTATTTCCAAGGTGCCTTTCCAAAGTGGGATTTAGTAAAGCATTTTAAAGTGTCCTGACCTAGTGCATGTCCCCAGCCCTTTCATCTGCTCACCAGCCCTTGGCACAGGCAACAAACCTTAGAGGGGCAGCACTGGAATTTCTGCCACTTTGGGCATGCTGTGTTTGCTTTTTAATGACTTTAATATTCCAGCTGCAGAAACCCCCCTCCATCCAGTCTGTATGTTGGGGACAGGTGACAGCCAGGGGCACCATCCCAGCTGGCCTGGGAGGTCGTGCAGCAGCTGCAGCGGGATGAGGTGTCTGCTCTGACATGGAATTACATAACATGACACAAAAACCTCTGGAAAAATTTCCTAATATTCACGAAAGCAGACTGATTTCGTGTATATGAGGCATGTTTGGGTGCTGTAAATAGGCTGAGATGACTTTGCTCCCTGGCAGACTTCTCCCACGTGCACAGAAAGCCATAGGTGTCCTGCCCAGCCCCACTGTGACTGCCCACGTGAGGAATTTGTTAGGATATTTCACACAGGAACCCAGACACTATGCTTTAAATGAGGGTAAAATTTAGACATTACTCACTTCCATTTGACTGCCAGCTCCCCTGGGCATGATGAAAGCAGCAGTGGGTCCCAGCTATTCAGCTCGCTCTGCTGTTGTATCTGGGGCTCCTGCAAGTCCTGTGTAGTGTTGCCAAGACCTTGGAGAGGATGGAAATCCTGACAGGAGAATGTGACTGCTCCACCATGGGGATTAGAGTTCAAAGTACTCTCAGCCATGGTGCCCAGTTGTTGTCTCCAG